AGATAGATAGATAGATAGATAGATAGATAGATAGATAGATAGATAGATAGATAATAGAGATAGATAGATATAGATATAGAGAGAGATAATGATGGATAGATAGATATAGATAGATAATCATAGATGGAGAGAGAGATATCATCAAACCTCAACTTTTTACTTTTACATAATAATATAAAATCGCCATTTTTATAACAACAAAACTAATCAGTAAAATCCAAAATTAAAGTTTCCTTTTTTTCCCCACAAGCACAAAGTCCAGATGTGGTTTCCAAGTAGAAACAAAAGTAATTCTGTTTTTTTCCCCCTTTAATCAGTCAGTCTCTGCTAATTCCATCAACTTTTGCAGCCATTTGTCCATTGTGGGAATCTTTTCCCCTTCCCTTCTCCTTCCCCTATTTTCCTCCTATTTTCTTTTGTGCTTTTGTATTTTATAACATAAACTAATTTAAAAAAAAAGTCCTCCGTATTTTTAGAGTAGTTGCCACGATGAGGCCTGGAGACTTGGCACGCCGCTGGTCTGAAAGGAGATTTTCCTTCCTTTTCCACTGACCCACCCAGATTTCTGCTTGGGGCCTCTGCGAGGAGGGATTTAGGCTTTGGACCGGTGAGATGCTTCGCATCTGTCTGGGGCAGCCAGGGGGCCTCCGAGGTCCTGGGTCGCTTGTGAATTGCAGGGAACGGGAGAAAGTTTCAGCCGCTGATTGTTGCCTTCGCACTTCAGGTCCCCGGGAGTGTTTCGTATGTGGAGATATCGCCACTCAGGAGTGCTCGGCGTGCTTCAAAGACAAGATGTTCGCTGGCACGGGGCTGAAGCAGTTTTGCGACTCGTGTTGCAATCAGGTGTGTGCGGCTGTTCTGTTTTTGCGTTGAGGAACGCTGTCCAAGATCCAGGCCATTCGGACATTCAGGTCGGGTTCATTTGTACCAAATCCCCAACAAACCCTTGCCTAGCTGGTCTACCATTGCTCGGTGGAGTTGATTTGGTCAAAGGTGGAACAATTTAGGGCAAGGGCACAATTGAGGGTACGACCTTGGCAATTTGGAGTCTGTTCTGCCCCCGGCTTCCCCAACAGCACGAAGCCGACTCCTTGTCCCGATAAACCCCTTTTATTTCGTTTGGGGTGAATTCCTCTCCAGCAAAGTCCTGGCCAACAGTCTTTCATGAGATTTCACAAGTACAGACCTTTATCAGGCTGGGTGAGTTGCCAGGCCGATAGCTTCCAAACGCCACACAGCAATGACTTGGCGAGAAGTCAGGAACAGATCTTCACCCTAATGAATTGAACTCATTGGCTTCTGCAAACGCCCCTCCCCTTTCTCTTCTCTTTTATTTCCTCTGGGAGGGGCCATTCACCATCCACCTGAGCCTTTACTCCCAAGTCGACCCTTGTTCCTTAACTTTTCCCTTCTCCTGGCAGCTCTGTGCATGCGCACATCAGGAACAGG